ATCCGCAATACAAGAGTGTCGGGGGACTTATGGACCACCCTGTATATGCCATGTTACGTAAGTATTAGTTTCGAATAATATCTTACTGATTTCTCTTTGGCATTTTGTTAACTAGAGGCTAACTAAGTACAAAATGAGTTAAAAAGAACATAATTAAAAATAATTATTACCAGTTTATGAAGATATGGATGTAATGCTCTTGTTATAGACAACCGCATTCCTATCTCGGATTAGGTCTGAGTTGGGGGATGTGTAAAATAGCGGAAAATCAATTTTTATATGGCACTGTCCTTAGTGATTTTACTCGACATTGCCATTAATATGCATAGCATATGAAAACAGTGGATGTGGATGTAGACTAGATCCTTGATTCACTTTGTTCGCCATACTCTTCATTATTTTTGCTGAAAAAAAATATAACTGTTATGACTGAACGATAAAGTAGAAGAAAATATTTTGATTATGTTCATCATAAGTATATTTGACGGTAATTGTAACAGATAAAATATCATTACAAACACAAATGTGTTAAATTAATTGTGAAACTTTTTTGAAGGGAGGAAGTCAAACAATTCTCTTCTGTGAACTTCTCTCTTAATGATTAATACTTTTTCGAGTCATCTCTCTTGAATGATATTCTGGTTCATATAATTTATAAGAGAATTTTCTTCAAACTCTTTTCGTGTAAGTTGCTTCCAATAGTCGACAACCGAGCTAGTCCGTGCATCTCATGTTACAAAATATTAGTGTGACATAAATAGTTCTTTTTTTTAACCTTCATATTGCGCAAAAGGTCCACAAATTTTTAATATGTTGTTCGTTTTATAAAAACAAAAAAATCATCCAGAGGGTGGATGTGGGGTGTGGGTGTGGGTGTGAGTGTGGGTGGTCTTCTATTCGTTCACACTGACACCCACACCCACGCCCACACCCACACCCGCCCCCACCCACCCACGCCCACACCACACAGCCACACCCCACACCCACACCCACACCTACACCCACCCACACCCCACACCTACACCCACCCACACCCACACCCCCACATCCACCCACACCCACACCCACACACCCACACCCACACCCATACCCACACCCACACACCCACACCCGCCTCCACCCTCACACAGTGGGGAGCTTTTGCAGAATCAGGCGGACATGCAGTTTTTTTGCTTAGAACTGGTTTTCATTTGCTTAGAAATAACCATACACCACTCAGAAAATCGTCTTTAAGAAAACAAAAGGTTTTTAAGAAAAAAAATTTTTCGAAAAAATACAGCTGGGGGTCTCTCACCCATAATTTTCTGAAAAAAATTTCTTTTTTGGAAAATATGTTGAACTACATATCATTCGAAATAGTTTAATGCGCTGATTTGGAATATCATCTTAATGTTTCTTCAAAGTGTAATATGAATGTCTAGAACCGAATTTCCAGTCAAGCCAATCACTTTCGGCGAAATTTCGCCAAAACTAACTTTCACGAAAATGACTCATTTTATATATGATTCGATGCAACCCGATGAGCTGATTCCGAATATCACCTTAGTTTTTCTTCAAAGCATAATGAGGAAGCCTAAAACCGGATTTTCGACCAGATACCTTAGGTTTTTGGACATCCTGTAAAATTGCCTTGGAAAGGTTTCGTGAGTTTGCGCTATTATCATAAGTAGGATACATATGTAGGAACATCTGGTAAAAATGCGCGCTCGATCAGACTTTATCCCTTTGTAGCGTTTAGAATATATGGAACGGTATGGTATTGGGCCCGGCTTACTGGCAAAAGTGAGCCGAAAATGTCTTGAAAAACTATTGAATCTATATGGTTCGATGCAACTTGAGCTGATTCTGAATATCACCGTGGTTTTTCTTCAAAGTGTGACACGGGTGCTCCAAACCGGATTTCCTTGCAGAAATCTCGGGTTTTTGGGCATCCCCTAAAATAGTCTAGGAAAGGTTTCATGAGTTGAGGCTACTACAGTAATTAGGATACATATGTATATATCCTCCCGGTCATGAAAAACGGAAAAGACTGTTTTTTTGATTTCTCTATGATAGAACATCGTTTAGGTCCGCTACTTATACTACAGATAGATCTTGTGTTACTCTATCTGCTAGCAAAATTTCAGCCATATGCACCAAGCGTTGGCTGAGAAAACGGAAAATCAATCTTACACACTCACATATAGTTGCGACAAACACTTGTAACTAATGCTTACGTTTTTGGTATTTCTTGTTTGATTCTGACTTGGTAAATATTGATTAGTTGCCTTTTAATCATGATTTGCGAAGAGTAACACCTGTTGTCACCATTTGTAAATCATCATTAGAAGGCAACTAATCAATATTTACCAAGTCAGAATCAAACAAGAAATACCAAAAACATAAGCATTAGTTACAAGTGTTTGTCGCATCTACATGTGAGTGTGTAAGATTGATTTTCAGTTTTCTCAGCTAACGCTTGGTGTATATGGCTGAAATTTTGCCAGCAAAGAGTAACACAAGATCTATCTGTAGTATAAGTAGCGGACCTAAAGGATGTTCTATCATAGAGAAATAAAAAAAACAGGCTTTTCCGTTTTTCATGACCGGGGGGATATATGTGGTAAAAATGCGCGCTTGATTAGACTTGATCTCTTTGTAGGATTTTTAATATACGGAACGCTACGCTTTCGGGTGGGTTTTCGGCAGAGGGACTCTTTATTTTCTATTATATTTTAAATTGGATTACGATAATTTTTTTATCATAAAGTCCATAGGTGGGCAAGTTTTTTGTGATATTGTTAGCTTGTGGAATATTGTGTTATGTTGCTGAGCGGCTTGGCTTTCTTTATTTATGCTGATTTCCGGGCCCAAAGCTTGGCAGACTCTTTTCTTGGGCTTTATGAAACTTTGAGAACCGCTATTTTAGGAAATGATAGATCACATATGCATGTATCTACACAAAAGGTTAGATTCTGGAAAAGAATATTTTCGCATATGTTCGGCTGGCTCCCCACTGTGACAGGCGTCAACGCTTGCTGATTCAACGTTACTTCACCTATGTATTGACTTTGTGTTGTTCTTCTTGTCAGTTAGAAAAAAAACCCACTGTTGATAGTCAAGAATGTGTGCCATTCTCCATTTTCTTACCAAATATTTACTATGCAAGTGAAGGCTCCTATTGAAGTAGGCTGTGTGCAACGATGTCTACTTTCGGCGAGAGAAGAAAAAAAGCATGTTCGTCAAGCAACTTATGTTTTCTCTTGCTGAGAATGACTTCTGCAACACAAACGGCATACTGTATTATTGTTAAAAAACAAAAAAAAGGTTTCATGGTGTCTTGTCGAGCCTTTTTGAATACAAAATGTTCATTGTAGACTTCTTGACCGATTGTTAATTGAACAATACAGAAATGAAACTTTTAGAAAGTTCATTTCTCAAAGCTATGCGAATCTTTGTGAAGACTGCATAAGGGCGCGAGACTCACAAGAAAAAGTCCCTAACTGATCTATGGCGTTTTTGTTGATATTTTCCCCATATGTAGGGTTTGATGAGACTAGAAAAGGCCTAAAAGGATAACAGTCCACAGATCTTCCTTCTCTAGTTATGATCATTTTACTGCGTTTACCACATGTATGACGAGGAATTCAGTGAAAACTCAACTACCAAAGTTCGACCTGAAATTTTGTTCACATGCAGATCTTATGAGGGTGTGGGTGTGGCTACACATAAGAATAGTACACCCACACCCACACCCACACACCCACACACCCACACCCCGCACCCCACACCCAGACCCACACCCCACACGCACTCCCACACCCATACCTCGGTAGTTGTTGGAAAAATCCAAATCAGAGCTTCATCATTACTCTCAAATGTTCTATGTGAAAAAAAGCATAGAATATAGAATGTGACTCAGTGTTCTGCTCTCTCTATATAACGAGAAGCATCAAACGAGTTTTTATTCATTTTTTTTGCCTGTTCCTTTCTCACTACAAACACATTTTGTTTGTATTTTACGTAAGTGATGACAGCGTAAGACTTGCTATAGTTTCATAATATATTCTTTGAGTCTTCTATAAACATCCTTATTGTCTTAAGACGAAATAAAACCAATTATTATTTTAGATAAGATTTTTTTAATTTCGATTAAATAGACCAAAATTTATTTATAATCAAATAGATAAAAATAACTTTTGACTATCTTTTAGTGAGTAATACTCAGTATTAATAAACAATTCATTAAACAATTAGTTAAAAGATTTACATATTTTCTTTCATCTTCACTAAACAAATAAAACTAAGCGTGCAATTTATTTACCTTTGAGTTGAGAGGAAACAAATTTTATTCTTTTCTGACATCATGCTGACTAATAAAATAAATACAAGGTTGGGTTTTCTGATAATAGCATGTCTATTATAGTTGTAACTTGATCATTTTTTGATTTTAGATTTTCGTGATTAAAATACTCTCAAATTTTATCAATGTCAACGGAAGCAGCATTCACAAAAACACGCGAATTCCGCATCGAAAAAATCAATGGCAATGCTTCATCGTTATTGGCATCAATACAAGAGGCAAATGGGTACCCGGATAAAATAAATAACCAACATTTATGTTCAAGAGTCTCCGAATGTATCCGTAAAAATGCGAAATTAAATTCTCTAGTCTCAAATAATGGTGATGTAAATAAGTATTGTAATAAAATTGCAAAAGGTGAATTATATGGTGATGAAGTTCAATTGAAAGCTTTATCTAGCGTCTGTCGATTAGTAATTTATATTATTTCCGCAAGCAAAAGTATAGACGGCAGTATTCAGATCGATAAAAAAATTTATGACGAAAGCATAGAATCATTTGAAGACTGCATCTATATTCTTTATGATGAAGAACATGGACATTATGATCCATTGTATGTGATTAACATGGAAAATTTACAAGAAAAAACCAAAATTTTTAAACGTAATGATGAAACTATTGTGAAACTTTTGAATATATTTCTTAAGAAAGAATTTAATTGTAAGAGAACAATATGTATAGATATAAATATCTTAATATAAAATATTTTTTACATATTTGTAGATGGCATCGATATGGAATCAGATTGTAACAATAAAAATTTATTAGAACCAACAACTGAACTAGGTGACATGTAGACAATCATAGTTTTCATTCGAATTGTATTACTACTGTTTCGATATAAACGAGCTGGAAAAGCTCTGCGATATTCCGGATGCTGACATAACTAAACGAAAATATCCAGTAAACCATCATCTACATATGATAACTACACAGATAAGTTATAAACCTAAATACAATATATTCGATGAAACTAGCGTATTTATCCGAAACTTATACAAAGATTAACTTAACAACCTATCTACCTAAAATCTAAATATTATGTGACGGAATACGCGTTTTCAAAGAATAATTTTTAGTTGTTTAAAATGCATTTTTTAGCCTGGAAATTCTCTGTTATTTTTTTTTTGCTAATATGATAATTTATTTTGTATAGCTTCGTGTAAAAGAAAGAAATATGAACATCCCACAACATCAACTCCGAGTAAGTTCATCAATTCGTGTTTCGTTTATGAATGATTATTCTCTTAGATGAAAATAATACTGCACTGTTAGAGATTCAAGAACTTTTACAAACGGCTATGTCCTGTCCTAAATCTAGTATGCATAAATATAAAGTCGTTTTTTTTTTAATAATAGAAATACATTTCTAGTAATTGAAGAGATGTTAACAGAAAATACTTCAGTGATTCTGAACAATCAAAATGCAGTAGAAAGAATGAAACTTGAAGTCGAACCTGCTTTGTACTTTCGTGGTCGTAAAGCCACTGATTTTAAACCAAAAAAATCTACAACACGTAAAGGAAAACCATCAAAACCAATGGCACCACGTTATTTTCCCGATAGAGAAAATCATCATTATCTTAACTTATTGGTTTGATTATATCTTAAATAATTAAGCATTATAAATGATCTGTTCATTTTTAGATTCCAAATGCATATCTATTAGGCGATCTTTTCGAAATTTGTTTTGAAATATGTATAGTGACAGCTGAAATCAATGGTTATACATATTACCATCCGTATTTCAAGTTTCAAGTACATCGAACTGATATGAATTCTCCAAATCAAAATCCACAATTCATATTTCTTGACAATACAGTTGAGTTAAAACCATATTCGGAGCTTTTAAAACAATTACCGTAATTATCCTTTTTATACAAGTCGACAACTATTAATTGAAATTTGTTTTAGACTTCGACTAGTCGTTGTTATGCATACTAACAAGGAATTGATGACTAGTGAACAGCCTTTAAAAGTCTTTTCATCAGCAACAAATAACAATAGTAAGCTCAGAGATTTTTATAGTGTAATATTATCGAAGACAAAATTTGTCATTTTACAGATAGAAAAATCATTACGAAAAGATATGATACTCATAAAGAACTTAAAGAAGCTTACCAACTTCATCAACTTCGCTTTGCAATAATACCATGTACTAAATCACCCGGTGAAAATGTATTTCAACGACATGGTGATGAACAATATATTAGCGAAATTTCAACAGAAGACAAAAATGTAAAAAACTATGATTCAATGTTAATCTTCTTTATTTTGTTTTTCTTGTTTAGACTAAAATTCGACGAGTTAAAGCATAAAGTATTTTTTCAGTCATTTATTAATCAAGATTTATTGTACGACAATGAAAACATGATCTTCGAATTTAATATTTTATGTGAATTTTTTTCTGTTGAAAATTTTCAAAGTTTTTTCTTGTAATCAAAACTATTTCAAAATCGGTTCATGTCACATTTAATATAATTTTTCAGTGCCATTTATTTGATCGACGATTAAACACTTGTCTGAATGCATTATATTCGAGCTTATATCCCAGATATCTTGAATCACGATCTGTTGCTGTTTTTGTATTGCGAGATATTGATATAAGATTCATAATTTGATATATAGAGTACGAAAGATTTTACTTGAAATTGTATATTCCATTGTCTTGAGCTAGTTGGAACGGCCAACTGGGATTGAACAAGGAGACAGTAATAATTAAAAATAGGTGTTTTATAAAATGGTTTTTCACAGTATCTTAAACTCCATATTGTAACACTGACAATTTACAAACCAAAAGTGTTTTTATTCTTGTTTTAACATTGAAATGCATGTGCTAATTGTATTATTTAATTTTACGATGCTTAAAGGACTCTACGAGATCTGTGCGTTCAAGAATTTCAATAAAGAAATTTTAGGGTGTGGGTGTGGGTGTGGGTGTGGGGTGTGGGTGTGGGTGTGGGTGTGGGTGTGGGTGTGGGTGTGGGTATATGTGTCTCTTCATGAGCACTCACACCCACACTCTCCAGATTCTGTTACCATGGACTGATTATAATTAAGGTGACCCTCCCCCCCCTTTCCGGCGTTTCTAAGAAACGGCCGAACGAAAATTCCTGAAACTTACAGGGTAGATAGACCTCAAGTGGTAGAGCAAAAGTTGTCATAGACACAAATTTGCCAGACGTCATCTTCATGGACTTCCAGAGACCCCAAGGTCAAAAACTTGCAAAAAGTTTTCCCCCCCGCAAATCCACAGATTTCATCCGTTTGAGCTGAAATTTTTACTGTGGGTAGACGAACCCAATCGAGGTGGGTGTTTTTTTTTTTTCAAAAATTCCAAATACTTCAGGCTGGAGAACCAAAATACTGAGCACTTCGCAAAATCTCTAGGTTTTTTGGATCCTAAAAAATTTTGCGAAGCCTGCCAAACTTGATTGGTAGAAGGTATTCAAAAAAAAAAAGACACCCAACCCAAACCACTTGAAGTCTCACCAAAATAATTTTTAGCCCGATCGGTCCAACCGTTTTCGAGAAAAACGGGGAAAACTTTTTTTTTTGCTCAAAAACTGATTTTGAGAAAATCGCAAAGAAAGTTGCACTTTTTGGGTTTTTTAGCATAAAATTGAGATTTTTTTCGAGTTTCTTATATGCAAAAAGATGGTTTAGCCTTCTTGAAATGTGCTCATTAGATAGAGGGCATTTAGATCTATATACCAAACATTAAAAACGAAAAACGAAAAGATTGAAAATTTTGGGTCAGGAAAGGGGGGGGGATCCCCTTAAGCAAAAAGATTTCAGAAGATTGGAAAAT